AACAGCAAAAAGACAGCGCATATAGTGATTCTTATAAGTATATGAATCTTGTTTACTTTTTTTAATATATCCTTAAAAATAAAAAGTTTTTTTTTCTAAACCGCAACTAATTTTTTTATTTCATTGTCATTTTTGGATTAGCGCCCCAAAATTAACAAAGTAGTGCACTTTTCCCACAAGATCAATTAAAAACTAAAATTTTTGTCCAGTGATATTATCAGTGTTAGGTTAGTCAGTTTACTAGTATTTCAATTTTGGTGTTGGTGTAAACAACACCGCTTTTTAAACTTACACATATCAGGTTAAATATAATCAGGATCATTATTTACCAATCAAATAAGATATGAAGATTGCACACCTCAATGTTAGGTCCTAATTTACTGGCTTGGTTAAAGTGAGAATTTCGATATCTTTGCTGTGACTGAAACTTAGATCAACGGCGATTAGATCATTCCTTGATAACTATACCAGGTTACAGATTCGTACACGCTGATAGGTTAACTAGAGGTGGTGGTGTAGGCATTTATTTCAAAAACAACATTAATGTTACCATAGCGCATCAATGTATTAGCTCAGATCTAGAGGAACTATGGATAAATCTGAAGTTGCACTCAAAATTGTACTTAATAGGCGTCATGTATAAGCCTCCTAGATGCAACATAACAAAAACATTCGAAATTCTAGAATCTTCTCTGGCAACTTTGCTTCCAGATTCAGATTCCGCTATATTATTAGGAAATTTAAATATAAACATGTTGCTAATTCACCTGCTAACGATATGCTATTGTATTTGCTGGAATCCTTTGATTTAAAACAAATTGTCAATGAGCCTACACGCATCACAGGGCTTTCGAATACTCTAATTGATTTGATTATCTGCTCTAAAGACCAAGACACTAGAGATGTTAAAGTTTTACCGTCCCACAATATATCCGATCACTGCATCATTACATGCGAAATTACTACTACACTAATCCGTAACAAAGTTAGACATTACCTTCCGTGATTTCAAGCATTTTAACCAGCAAAAATTTCTTGAACTGTTTTATTTGGTTCCTTGGGATCAGATATACAACATGCAAGATGCGAACGAAATGGTATATTTTCTGAATGATAACGGAATAGACTTTTTGACGTTAGCGCACCAGTAAGGACTGTTAGGATATCAAAGCCTCCGGCACCATGGTTAACATATAATATAAAAAAATGATGGAGAGTCGAGAGATAAGGCATATAATAAGTACAAGCAGAATAATCGGTAGGCAAGTGGGTTTTCTATAAAGAAATGCGCAATGAAGTTGCGAATGCTATCAATAGGGAGAAAAAAGCGTATATGGAATTCATTCTGTCAAAAAAGATTCTAAAGCTACCTGGAGCTGCCTCCGGAGACTTAGCATTATCAGCAGCAACTTGAAAGAGTTACCTGGCCATCTACAGGACGTTAATGACATAAATAAGTATTTTTCTAGTTTACCTACCATTGTTAAGTCTGAGTTACAAATGAAACTGCTGGAAAAATATAACACCAGCCAGCAAGCCAGACAATTCACATTCTCCCAAATAACTTGCCACGATGTTATGGGATTTTTCCGAAGTATCAAAAGTAATGCCTTGGGTGTTTGCGGAATCAACCTAAATCTAACAATCATATTCGATTTGCTAATTGAAAATATAACTTTCATCATCAACTATGCAATTGCATCATCAAACTTCCCCAACTGTTGGAAAAAAGCAAATGTTCTCCCCCTAGCTAAAATAAGTAACCCTACAGATATTTCACATCTGAGGCCGATAATATACTACCAGCATTTTCCAAGTTATTAGAACTAGCCATGAAACATCAGGTATCTGACTACGTCTTCTCTAATGGTATCATTCCTGAAATCCAATCGGGTTTCAGGAAAAACCACAGCGCAACAACAGTTCTGGCTAACATCACTGATGACTTAATCAGATGTGTGGATCAAGGAAATTTAGCATGCTTAGTGTTGCTTGATTATACAAAGGCTTTTGATACCCTGGAACCATCTATTCTTGTGAAAAAGCTTATATACTTGGTTTTTCGGAATCTGCAATTAATTTTGTATTAAGTTATTTCACTGACAGGAGTCAGATGGTTGTGATTGGGTCAAGTATCTCGGAGGAGATACCAGTTAAACTAGGGGTACCACAGGGTTCCATTCTGGGACCATTATTGTTCTCAATTTACATTTCTGACTTCCACGAGTACGTTGAACACTGCAGTATTCATCACTATGCTGACGACACTCAATTATACTTTGGCTTCGATATTAAAGATTAAAAAATGCCGAACATTTGATTAATAATGATTTAATAAATTTATCTAACGTATCTTGTGCCCATAATCTGAAAATTAACCCGTTAAAATCCGCAGTTATATTTGGACCAAAAATCAAAAAAAGTCAGGCAAAACCATTACTATCATTGTGCATTTTAGATCAACCGATCCCTATAAAAAATGAGTGCAAGAATTTAGGACTCTGGATTGATTCTGATTTGAGGTTTGAAAAACACGTTAGTCAACTGTGCCGAACATCATTCGGTGTCTTGAAGCAATTATTTCCTCATAGGAAAAATATGAATACTGGTCTCAAGCTGAAGTTTGTGCGAAACCTTAATATGGTCTAGAATTCACTACTGTGACTGTATTTATGGGCATGCACTAAGATCGATTGAGATAAGGAGACTTCAGACTATTCAAAATGCGTGTCTCAGATTTGCTTGTGGAGTGAGAAAATTTGAGACAGTGTCACATAAATATCGTGAGCTGGGTGTTCAAAAATAGAAGCTACAAAAAATGCATGTATTGACCTTGACCCATAAGGTAATCACAACACAAGCCCCTCCATATCTATCAACCAAATTTATCAGATACTCAGATGTTAATCAACTGAACACAAAGAATAAGCATATTTTGGTTATCCCGAGACATTCAACATCTCTATTTAAAAGGTCGTACGTATATACTGCTATCAAGCTATACAACGCGTTGCCTACCGAGTTCACTCACTACTCTATAAAGAATTTCAAAAAAAGATTGAAGAATTTTATCTCTGATTCCATTGCCCAGTAAGTAGACCATGGCCATGAATAAGGACTCGTTACAGGTTTTTTTTTTAACTCTTGTTTTCATTGGGATTAGAAAATATACATCAATATTTGTTGGGTTAAGTTGAAAAACGCTTTTTAGCGACACTTCGCCTTTTTATACTTTGTATAAATAAAGCCGGATTATTATATGATGCTCTTGCAAGAAAGATAGGTAACCTGCTTTTTCACGCCTAATTGACGCAAGAGTATAATTAAGTTTTTCTTTGTAGCTTAACCAGCTCGATACTGTTTTATCGGATTTATATTTTCTAAGTGCAATATCACGTTTTTTCAGAATAATTTTTAACGGAAAGGTCAACCAAGGGGCCTGACGTTTATGACTCTCACCGGTGTGAGCGGCGCCTGGATATCAAAAACGTTAAGAATGTTCCTTGTAAGGAAATCAACTTTTTCATCGATGTCATTCAATAATATCAGGTCGTGCCAAACAACTGAGCTTAAATCAATACTTAATGTCAATATAATATCAAAATTATTTTACAATGCCTATGTACGTCATATCACTCTTTTATAGATCTTTTACGTATCATGCAGTGTCCTTGGTATGGCAGGAATATTAAAATCTCAAATCTTAATAGCATCAGTTGCAAACTGTATCTCAGACTTCATCTCCTAGACATGCAGCAACCGTCAATCCGTAAGTGCCTTGGTTCTAAACCATGTGATCTATTTCCATGTTTTAAATATTCACAGACATACAATGGTTTACTTATACGTAGAAATACATTTGTATTATGTATTGTATGAACCTGTTTGACTGTCGTTTCTCTTCGAGGGTTATTCCTTTATGTGGAAAGTGCGGAGTCAACCTACTTCGCGCCATTTTTCTTGCTGTGAAATGGAAGGGGCGTCGCAAAGTTGATGTCGCTGACATCCATATGTATGGTCTAGCGCCGCCAATGCTTGTATATTATCATATTAATTGCAATACAATGAGTGCAATGTTCAAGGTAAAAATTCAACGTACCTTTCGGCATATCTCCATTCATCATTTACACCACATTGATATGCGCAAAAAAATCACCTTCTGTCACCGAAACGATTCATCACGACAAACGAAACAGCGGCGCAATGAAAAGCGACGTTGTGAACGATGCGTTCACTGCCTACTAGATGTGCCAGTCGTAAGACAAACAGACCGACCGACCGGTTCACCTCACTAATTACCAAAGGCGACTACTTGATCGATTTGTAAGTGGTATGTGTACATGTATTGTGGTTCTGTATGCGGTAAAAAAAATACTTGTTTATCTGATACCGAGACCGTATTTCATTTAACAGCTGATGATGCATGGAAAACGCGGAAATTTAAAACGACGGTCTCACATAACTTTTTTACAACACAGCAGCGCGGCTGCTGTTAGGAGCTTAAAGAAACCATGTTCCGATTTTTAAACTGCCTGAGATTAGTAAATTTTGCCTATGACACGATCAGGAGCAGAGTCTTTCGTACAAGAGATTATTTTGGTATACCTGGAAAACTCATTAACCTCACAAGAATGGCGATGAGACCAACGAGAAGTATGGTCAAAATAAGAGGAAAATTAACAGATGAGTTTAAGATTAATACAGAACTAAGGGCCGATTTCACCAACAACAGTCTATTATTCTCCACCTATAGGGTAAAGCCCGTCAAATACAGCGAATGAGCTTCAAGTTCCAATCAACAAATTTTAGCAACCAATAGCTATGAAATGTTGAAAACAAAATACTGTCAAAGTATGAGATGACATCTTATCATTGAAATATCATCAGCTTATTGAAAATCATCTACTAGGTGTTTTTTCCTATAAACCTCTGCAGATAGCCATTAAGTACCTACTTGATGACTGGCTCTACCAAAAGTTCATAGATATTGCTCGTTTCCAAACATTCATTCATTTACTTGTCGTTCATCAGAACCATTACGGCACCTTAGATTGATATTCCCACAAAACCATTCTGGTTTTTTAATATCCATACCTCCATAAAGTTGAATATTTTTCGTTGTTCAGGAACTCAACAACATCCACACTATTCACAGCGATTAAGAAATACCCAAATATATGTCGTAGAGATACCAGCAAACCTAAAACCTGCAGAAAAACTAGAATATTGCAATATTATTCTTTTTCACAGAGTACATATTCTGGGTTATATTTATATTAGACGTTATTTGAATCACAAAACATATACACTGATTTGAATAACAGCTGATTATCTCCTGATATTTTAAAACTAACCATATCGACAAGTGACACATAATTCTGTGGTATCCGTCAACACTTCGTCCCAGTGGAGCAAACTCTGCCAACTGTCGAAATAAACTTTATTAATTCCAAGTCTTATTTTTGTTTTACTGTGGCTGCTTAGATATTCAAATACGGCCAGGAATTATTAGCGCCTGGCTATTTAGGCCGTCAATAACTCCTTATTTTAGATCTCTCCTTATTTGTTTTTTCCACGCATTCATTGTAGAAAGAAAAATATTTTATCGAATATCGATACCGTATACCGTGCAGCAGGCACGCCCATCACTACTTGACAGATTGCAGAATGTCAAGGTGACAATCGTTATGTGGCAGTTATTTTTGTTTTTGTCTGAAATAGGTAAGTAGGCTTTGTGTATTCATTTTTATTTTTATAGCGTTCCAGAATTTCATATTTCGAAACGATGTCAAGGGCCGGAAGGGAAAAATCCTTCTCTGAGAACTGAAAATCATTAAACGACTGTTTTCAGTCTATTTTATTCTATCTCTTGGGGAAGAACAGAATGAAGAAAAGACTACAGTGCTCAGTGGCCACTCAGTGGCTCAGTGCTCGTCTGTAATAATAAATTCAAATACTACCAAACACCTAAATAGCTTTCTGGCCTTTAATTTGGAAGCTACCAGTCCTCGCTTAGAGATGGTAGCACAGTTAAGGATAGACTCGGGGTATACGGTTACGGATGTTTATGATTCCTCTCGATCGATATATCGTCATGAAACCATCGATGCGTAAAGATCGATGTTCTACGTCCCATGTATCGATGTTTTCGATACATCAATGTCTCGTCTATCGTCGTCATCCCTATATTTTATTCCCACAGTCAGTCACTAGTCAAAAACCTTAACCACCAATATTTTATCACTATTTATAATTCTTTTTAGCTCTTATTTTTCAGTAATTACTAATAATTTTAGGTCTATGTCTACAGTAATTGCATTATGCACCTCGGAGATGTAGGGATTAACATGTTTTACACATATCGGTGTTTCAGGATGGGGACGACCATACTGTTTTGATTGCTTTAAAGAAATTCATTAACCCATGAATTTATAACAAATGATTACTATTATGATGTAAAGACAGATGAGGAATTGGTTGGAATACATTTTATATTCTATTTTCTTGCAAATCCGCACAATTCAACAGGTATGTGTAGCTATAGTGATCACATATACACACAGAATATTGAAGTTAACAAATTTCGAGATTGCCATGAATTAACAAACGACCAAACCTGCTGCCAAATTTAACAGCTAGAAAACGACCTATTATTTCTCCCATTCCTATTCGCTGAGGGGATAACGGATGGTCAAATGTACACCTATAACATAAATCAAAATACAAGTTACAAGTTATCCTGTTTTCTCTGTACAAAAGCATCATGTTGGAATCAAAAAGTGGTTTTGTTTATAATACAGTCGAATTTTCACGATTTTATTCAA